GAGAACCACTTCCTTCCTTATAAACACTGCTTTCGTCGGATTAAGCTATAAACAGGCCATGGGCAGCAGCAGCAATGCACCTTAGTATAGAGTCAGTCGCTTTGAAGTGTGGGGACTTTCATATTTTTATGGGAACAGAATTATACCGAAAGAAAAAGTAATATGTTTGAAAGTATGAACGGTTTATAAAGAGTAATGCTCATGCAGTAATTAGAGAAAAGAGTAGTGGAAAAGTACGATTTCTTGAGAGGGCACCTTCGATTTAACTTATCCCTATTTTGACCACTTGAATGAATTTGTCATCAAATATGTCCTCATATGTGATTTTTTTTAAATAAAAAACTGACTCGGAGCCTAGTGGTCCGGATGGTATGGTTGGAAGGTTGAGTGGGTAGCTGCCGTCACTGTCAAAGCCGCTTAGATCCCCACATGCAACAAAAGGAACAATAACTCGATTGATACCAGTCAGCTGATTCACGGCCTCATCTGTAAACTCAGTGATTTCACCATTTTGAACTCAAATAAACAAAAGAAACCGACAAAGATCAACAGTCATACCGTAATTGGGAGCAAACATTGGATTTTCCAGAGTGGGTTCATATCCTTCTGGTGGAGAATAGTTTCTACACACCACAAATGCTTCTATAAATAATAATTAATGGTAACCAATAATCAAAAATGATCCAAACAAAAATAAAATTCATACACAAAGAAAATCTGTTGAAAGCAAGTACAAAAAATTTACCGCAACTGCTCTGTCTACTGCTCTTCGGCTTGGCGCAATAGACTTCTTTGAAAAATATTTTCAGCTGAGCATAAAGTAGAGTAGCATTTCGTGCGCGAAAAATCTGAAAATTCTTCCTTCCTTTGTTTCCCACACTTTTATTTAGCATAGCAACAATGTGACCGAAACCTGTCGTACCCTATATTTATTGCTACACCACAAAATTGTTTCCCCCTCTCTACGAATCTCCCGGCTACGATAAGGGAATATGTAATATGTAGGTAGGGAATACCCTAGGTGAGAAATACCCATGGAACACTATTCAGCGGCCGCTGCTCTCTTTGAGCATGAAAGCATTTGAATGTATAACAGGACTCATTGACTTGCCGATTACGCCAAAGCAACACCCGACATGAAAGAGTTGCGCGACTCCTTAAGGTTTTCTTATAATGACACCCGCAGATTGTGATAGAGGTCCAACAGGGAATCTAGGCACGTGGAAGAAAGTGGTTCCTCTTTGATACCTAGGTTTGTCTTGAGCGTGTGTAGGCAAGGCATTGAGCAAGAATTAACGATGCCAAACCCATGATCCATAACCTTGATCCTGCTCTTCCCATTCATCAACGCCTTTGTAGGCAAAATTCAGAGTTTTCCA